CTTAAATTGCGAGTTACTGAATATTTACGCATATATAAGTTCAAGTTAAATGTTGCTGATTTCGTAAAATTCATTGAGGATGAAATTATCCCTACCCTTGGAATAGAAGAGAAGACAAGTATTTCATATTCAACTGCATGTGAATGGCTGCATATTCTCGGTTGGGAATATAAAGACCACTCGAAAAATATTTATTTTGATGGTCATGAGCATGAAGATATAGTAGCGGATAGACATCGATTTTTGGAACAATGAGCAGAATTACGAAAACGAATAGCAACTTACGAAGGTGAAAATTTAAATTAGATAATCTTACCCGTACTTTCACATGATATTCCCGAAATCGTTTCTGTTACCCATGACAAGTCGATCTTTTATGCAAATGATGATGTTGTTAAGGCTTAGGGTCCAGCGGATGAAAGTCGACTTCGTCGTAAGTCGCAAGGCCTCAGCATTCATGTAAGCGACTTTCTCTATGAATCTATTGGATGACTCCGGCTTTCAGAAGATGAATGTTCTACTAACGATTTATTTCCTGATGATGAGCAACTAATATATACCGAAGCTTGCGTCATAATGTATTTTGGTACAAATCGTGATGGCTGGTAGACAAATAAAAATGTCGTTAAACAGGTAAAGGAGCGGGCTATTCCAATATTTGAACGTACTCACCCAGAAAAAGTCGCACTGTTCATATTCGATAACAGTTGCAACCACAATGCATTTGCTGATGATGCATTAGTGGTTTCAAGAATAAACATGAAAGACAGTGGAAAACAACCGCTTCTCCGTAACGGTAAAATGCCTGATAGCTCGCTTCATGTCATAACATTTATGGATGTTGATGGTGTAGTAAAGCCCAAAGATATTCGACGAGTTCTTGAAGAGCGCAGTTTATGGATACCGGGTTTGAAAAGAAAATGCAATGCGTGTACGCAACATAATCCCGATCTGAATAAACTAGACTATTGCACAACATGCATCCTTTCTGCCCAACCCGACTTTGCATCACAGAGGATACATATACAAGAAGTAAGCTGCAATTAATATGATATTCACTGTTCAAACATAACAATACAACAAATATAATTAAAAATACTTATCTTTTTAGGTTATTGAGGCAGCAAGACATATGTGCATGTTCTATCTGAAGTTCCACTGCAAACTTAATTATATCGAGTCATTTTTGGCAGAGGCGAAGTGGTACTCACGTCTTCACTGCGATTATTCGTTCAATCACCTTAAAGAAGTTGTACCGCGTGCATTAGATTCCATTAGCCTAATGAAAATTCGTCAGTTTTTGCGTCGTTCTGCGTGTTATATAAGTGTTTATGAACTTGGACTTTCAGGTAAGGCGGCTGTCTTTGCGGTTAAGCGGTATCGGTCTCATTGTAGGGTTCCTGAAACAGTTTTGAAAGAATTCAGTAACATCTAAGATAAAGTTTTTTGCTAATCAAATATGGTAATTTAACCAATCATATTGTTTCACGTGATACTGATGGCACTGAAAATTTCCCTATTACTATTAAAATTGGCGTTAAAAAAATCTTAACTAAAAAAAATTTTTGTAATAAAATGGACAAAAAAAATATGTAGTCTTGTAGAGTATATCAAAGACTATTAGATAACGTATTTTTTTTTTCATGGTTATATGTTTAAATAAAATTCCTTTATGTTTTAAAATCATTAAAAATCATTGGATGCAACTAAGCCGTTTGCACCATAGAAAAAATAAAAATTGAGTTAATGCTAAATCTAAACATATTTTGACTTAAAAATCATATTTGGCATATAAAAGTAAAATTGATTTTTTCTGGCAGTTTCCCTCCTTTCTATTGCAAAGGTTCCATATATTCTTAACTATAGTAACAAATGAACTTTCTTCATTTTTCATGGCAGGAACTTGCAACATAGCATTATGATTTTTAATCATGAACTTTCTATCATTTACGGGAACCAATCCTTCATATTTGTTGATAAATTAATTATTCGTGATAATCTGTAATCAGTGTTGGCCAACTGGACTAAATTAGACTAACTGGACTTAAAACTGGACCATTAGACTTACAATTCCAGTAACTAAACTTATAGTCCAAGTTCAGTCAAAATAATTGGACTTATAAAGGTGACCAATACTGTTCGTAACGTAGTGTGGTACTTTCTGTGGTAATGTATTCTTTTTCTTTTGAATTGTCTTTACATTTACGAATACGTTTCTGGTAATAACATCACTAACATTTTTGCTAGAAGGCAAGATCCATTTTTTTCGACTACTAAGTATAGAATTGAGAGTTTCTTCAAAAGATGGAATATCTCGTCATCATCTTATTCGCTATCCTCACTTTCATGCTCTTCAGAGGGATCATCATCATCCGATTGAAAAAGATTAAAAGAAGCTGATTTCTTAATTTTGGTTCCATCTGGTAAAATATCCCTCAAAGAAATAAAATTAACCTGATTACTTCTCATAAAAGGTGTTATTTTTTGCGAACAAAAATTTAAGTATATGACCTTTTTTCCTAATGATAATTTCTTTTTGATTTTTCTTCATTAAATTGAACTCACTTTGTTAGTTCTTGCTCTTCTTCATAATTGTCCTAAAAGATTAGGAATGCCAAATAATTAGTTTGACTGACCCTCAATCTAGCTAAAAAAAGCGCTTTAGTACCTCTTCTTCATAATATTTTTTCGCAACGAAAATACTGCTATCAAGATTTCCAATTGTTTGTGTACCTCTTAAAATTGTATTATTAATATTAATCGATAGTATTTTCTATGATGCACAGTCCAACTCCCAATTCTTAGAAAATTTTCGGTCAGCTTTATCGCCTTAGTATGAAAGTTTTGAAAATTAATAACGTTTTTAGAAGCGTGTTAGTAATATTTGTCCACCAGGTCGGCTTAAAGGCTTGAATAACAGGCGAGCATAAAGTTACCAGTGCCTCAAAACTAGCTTTATGGCTCAGCTTAAAGACTTGAATGACAAGGAGCTTAAAAGTCTTCGTCACGCTACCAATTTTTATTTATACTATTAATAAAAAAAATCTTAAAAATTACCGTTTGATATTTATTGAGCAACCTTTGTGCTTTCTTACGCCTAGAGATGTGGACAGTTCTACCAGTTCCATTTTGGTTCCTCTTCAGTTATACTTCGACTCTTCTTAAGTAAATTAAACTTTGAGCATTAAGTTAAATATATACTAATAGAACATCATATGATGATCAATTTAAAAAATTTTTTTGACTGGTTATCAAACAAATTCATTCTATTATTACCTTTAATTTGATGACATTCCAATTTTAAGCTGATTCTTAGAACTGGTCTAGAGTCAGTTCCAGTTTGATTTTTAAAATTGGTTAAAAATGGTTTGTAACTCAGGAAAACCTAGAATATGTTAAATTTATAATCGGTTCCAGAACTGACTCAGAGTCACTCTTTTTTGAACTGTTCCTAATCCTAAACTTACGCCTCGGTATTTTCTCATTCTTTAGAAAATCCTCAATACTCCATCCTTAAGGCTTGCGAATGAAATAATGATGCATCTTGTTTTTGCCTAAAACCAAAACTATTTAACTAATTGCGCATTTATAAAAAAACATTTTTTATCCTTTAGGCTACAATAATACGTATTTCGTAATACAAAACTGATAATACGTGCGCAAATATTATTGGCTGATCAATATGCAGGCATTGCATTTGGCTATTGCTTAGAAACGAACAAGATATAAACATTTTCTGAAAAAAAATTTCAATACAAATGCCCAAAGTGTAAATTCTATTAATTTTTAGATAAATAGCAAATCAGAAAATGATAGAGAAGCAAATGAAATGTATGATATCCTAGACTATTTAATACTAGTCTCAGCATCACATTACTTCTTAACTCTTTCACATTTTAAAAAATATCTATAACTGATTTATTTCTATCACTACAGCTAATTATGAGATTCTATACTAAATTTTTGAAATAAATTATCACACCCTTATCTCCTACACACATAGATGATATTTTTTTATAATAAAACTTCTTTGAGATTAAGTAATTTTGAATCTTTAGCATAAATTCAAAAGATTAGTAACTGAGTAAAAAAATAATATTTCTAATTCATACTTACCAAAATACTTCATTTTTATAGCATTTAATTCCACCTTAAATATATCACTATGTTATTGCCAAATTGATACTGTACTAAAAATCAAGAATTCTACATTTGAAAATACTTATGTTAGAAAAATTATTTGATATGTTATGCTAGACTTTTGTTATACTATTGCATGTCATGTGATTAATTCACTGTATCTATTGTATGTATGATGACAGTATTAATATATGATATTTACCCCAGTATCGTCATAAAAAATGATCTTTAAATATGAATAAAAAGAGAGTTTTTTTATAAGAAATGCAAACTATAAATAAACCAAACTCTTTTTGGTATAATTGGCAATAATTTTTACATAATAATAGTTAGAATAGCAAAAACACATTTGATATTAGATGTTATTATTAAATTATTTCTATATAATGTGAGATTATTAAGGATATAATAATCACAGCTTTATAGAAACATAAAATGGAAAATATTTATTAAATAGTTTAAAGGTTTTCAAGAAAAATATTCTTTCAGTATTTATAATTTGGTTGATTATCATATCATTTTTAGCTGAAAGTAAAGAGAGATCTACAATTATTATTTATTGATGATGTAAGAGAGTAATCATATATTATGTAAAAAGGTTTGATTTACTGGTAAGAGATGTTGAGAGTTGATATTAAGGATCTATTAAAGTAAAATAAATTAATTTAGAATTTTTCTTACTTGTGAAATTGATAAAAAAATTCTAAAATCAACATAGGTAAATATATAATTATCTTTGCAGTTTAAATTACATTCGCAGTTTACTAATTGCTCAATAAATATAAGAAAATATTTAGTAAATAATAGGATAATTCTTGTATTCATTTAAAATAATTAAGTAAATAATATTACTATCACCTTATATTTATTGTATTAATGATTCAGAGTAATACAAATATTGCATTTTTTAAGATTACATAAAAGAGTAGGAATCTAATCTTTAAAACCTTTCAAATTTTAATAAGATTAATATAAAAGAATAAATTCTAACATCTATTTATTATACTATAATTGATAAAGAATAGATAAATAAAGTTTTTTCTAAAAGTTCAGAGTTATTTATTATAGTTAATAAGATATTACTTGTAACTGAATATATTTGTAATAAATATAAGTTAGACCATAAAGAAGTGGTGAATATAATAGAGGTTAACTCTGGTGAAATCCAATCAATCTGTCATCCAATCTGATCAAATTTCAGATCATCCAGATTTCTATTTATCAGATTTCAGATTATCCAGTATAATTCAATCAATCTTTATAATTCCAGCTAGAATTATAAATTTTAGGTGGAATTATAAAAATTACGAAAAATCACATGATTTTTAATTTCTATACGTGTGGGTATATCGATCAATTCCTTTTTCAATGATAGCCATTCTACAAAAATTATTTCTATTTTTAAATTTCTGTATTTCTTACATTTTGTACAACTATAATACTGATCATTTCCTTTTTAGCAATTGCTATTTCACAAATAATTTGTTTCCTGTTTTTGATTTCTGCAATCCTGGTACTCTATATAATCTATATAACTTAGATTTTAAAAATATAAATTATCAAAGGCCTTGTATTCTGAAACATGTTATCAGATCAATTAGAAAATCTGATTTCTATTTGATCAATCCTGTAATATAAACGGATCAATCTGAATCTGATCAAATTTTGGATGGATGATTAGATATCTAGATTGATCAGATTCAGAGCATACTTTTAAAATGTAAAATATATGATATTGTATCTCTTGATAAATAAAACTTTTTTTTAATAAAGCTCTAATAGGTCTATAATACAGTCAAAACTAACTTCAAATAAATAAAAAAGTTGCATAAGATATTTGATATAAGATATTATAATTATATTAAAAACATAGATAACTGCTTATCAGTAAGCCTTTTATGAGATATAATAAAGACTGTGTATTTAATATTCTGTATAGCCTATTTGATAATAAATAGATGATTATTTTTGAATAATATCTAGATGCCTAAATAATAAATTGAGATTAAAGGACTAATAAAATTAATAGTTTGATTAACACTATTGATATTCATTTGAATAGTATGTGTAACTTTTTATTGATAAGTAAATCAAACTTAAATTAATTGATTAAGATTGTAAAAGCTATTTATTAAGTTAATAATATTAAAAAATTATTACGTAATATAGTATTCTAAAGTATATCATCTATATAAGCTAAAATTAATATTTGCATAATAATTTAGAAAATGTAGAAACAAATATCTGGTTTTTATTTATGTATCATTTTATAATCAAACTTAGAGTCTTATATTCTGCATAAAAAAAGGTCATAGTAGATATACCAGAGGAATAGTAAAATAATTTTATCTTGATTAAAGTCTGAAAAAACTTTATAAGTATTAATATTACCAAAAGATGTAAAGATTTAATTTTCTCATTGAATAAATATATTCAAAATGAAATAAATGAATAATTTCAAGAGGAGTAAATGTTTAAGAACATTAGTGAATATAAAAATATTAATTCAATTATATGTTTTAGATATATTCTAAAGAAGAATTTATAGGTCTTTCTTATTTGAAAAAGTATAATATCTAATATTATTTATGATATATAATGGTTCAAAGGTGAAATAAAAAAAAAGTCAACAAAATTATTCTCTTTAAGAATATTTTGTTATACAAAGATAATTAATAAACGCTATTAATATTACTCTTTTAGTTGAATAAATTAACTATGATTTGAAGTTAAAGAAATAATACCTGTGACTTAAATCTAATCAATTTAACAAAATTTTAATTAGAAAGTTTGTTTAGTTAATAAAATAAAGTTATATATTTTATATTTGTAAAATGTATTTAGAATTTATTAATATTATTTGTTATTAAGTATATTTCAAATCTTAATCTATTCTTTTTTTCAAGATATTTTTATTTATATAAGAAAATACAATTAAAGAAAATCACTGATAATAGTTATATTTAAAACATCATATTCGCCAATATTCAGATTTTGATCACAAAATTTAACTCAAAAAATGGTTATATTATATATAAAACTGAAATTAAAATCTAAAAGTCAAAATATTTTGACTTTAAAATCATAGTTAAAATTAAAAGTTAAAATTAATTATGAGGGTCAAATTACATTACGAGTGTCAAAATTAATTGTGAGAGTCAAAATACATTACAAGAATCAAAATCAATTACAACAGTTGAAATGTTAATTATATCCTAATATAGCAATCAATTACATATTTGGAAATCACTATTACATCATGTATTTTTATATAATAATAAAAATTACCAAAAAATAATTTTTTGTGAAATGGGTATCATCAAAAAGAAATGATCTGTATAATCATATAATACAGTATGTAATGCTCTGAATGGTTCAGTTCAGTCCGAATTATAGGCCAATCCAAAACTGATCCGAAAATTTTGGTTCGGTTCGGTTCAGATTATAAATCCTAAAAATGCCAATCCAAACTGAACTGAACCGTAAACCGGTAAAAATCCGAACTGAACTGAAAATTTCAGATCGTTTGGAACAATCCTTTTATTGTTCTTTTGGAATAATAACTTCAATCATTTCAAATAAACAATTTTCTTATCGTTCGTTTGGAACGATAACTTCAATCATTCCAATCGAATGATTTTTTTATCGTTCGTTTGGAATGATAACTTCAATCATTTCAAACGAACGATTCTTTATCATTCGTTTGGAATGATAATTTAATCGTTCCAAATGAACGATAATTTAATCATTCCAAATGAACAATTTTTTTATCGTTCGTTTGGAATGATAACTTCAATCATTCCAAATGAACAATTTTTTTGTCGTTCGTTTGGA